GGGGGGTTTAGAGGGGGTGAGTGATAAGGGGTACAGAGTTTCTTTTTCGGGTGATGAAAATGTTCTGAAATTAGATAGTGATGAGAGTTACACAAGTCTGTGAGTTTACTAACAATTACTGAATCATACTCTTTGAAATGGTAAATTTTATGGTATGTGAATTACATTAAAAAAAAAAGAGCTTCAAGGCAGGTCAATTTTACACAGAGAAAGTTGTGTGATTTTACACATCTCATGATACATCCTTTGTTCTAATATAAATGCCGTCAATTGTTCAAAGTACATTTATAGATTTCTTGTTGTTCTTCCCATGCCCTACATCACTTATTACAGTGCCTTGCAAAATGTATGACCTTATAAATCATTTTAGGTATGAAATATATTTATTCATCTCCTTGAGTCCCCTAATAAAAAAACATTACACAACTTAGAAATTTTATTTTTCTCCACTCACCCGTAAATTCCCCAAGGCTAAGAATTATGGTAGATTCATCCCAATATTCTCTTTCCACACTCAAACGTCACTTTTATTCCCACCTTGCACCTATTACAGTGTCTGATACACAAATAATGTTTATAATTCTTTAAAAACTCCTTTTATTTTCCCCTTCCCAACTTGAACCTAATCTTCTTGAAAACCAGTACTGGGCTTCATTCATTTTTTTTATTCTCTACCACCCTTTCTTGTGTGGCCCTATTCTTTACATGCAAGTTCTTTTTATTTTCTTCCAAGTTTTTATTTAAATTCAAGTTAGTTAGTATTGGTTTCAGTAGAACCCAGTGATTCATCACTTAAATGTAACACCCAGTGCTTGTCCAAAAAAGTACCCTCCTTAATGCTCATCACTCATTTAGCCCAGCCTCCCACTTTCCCTCCAGCAACCCTGAGTTAATTCTCTACAGTTAAAATTCTACTATGGCTTGCCACCTCCTCCGTTTTTATCTTTTTAAAACCTCTTTTAAAATGTTTTATTTATTTCTGATATATATAGAGAGAGACAGCATGAGCATGGGAAGATCAGAGAGAGAGGGAGACACAGAATCCGAAGACAGGCTCCAGGCTCTGAGCTAGCTGTCAGCACAGAGCCTGACGCGGGGCTTGAACCCACGAACCATGAGATCATGACCTGAGCTGAAGTCGGATGCTTAACCGACTGAGCCACCCAGGCGCCCCTCCTCTGTTTTTATCTTATTTTATTTTTTCTTCCCTTCCCCTATGTTCATTTGTTTTGTTTCTTAAAATCCATATATGAGTCAAATTATATGGTATTTGTCTTTCTCTGACTTATTTTACTTAGCATAATACGCTCTAGTTCCATCTATATCCTTGAAAATGGTAAGATTTCATTCTTTTTGACGGCTAGGTAATATTCCAATATATATGTATTCCAATATATATATGTGTATAAACATATATACAAATCACCCCTTCCTTATCCATTTACCCGTCAATGGACATTTGGGTTCTTCCCAAAATTTGGTTACTGTTCATAGTGCTGCCATAAACATTGGGGTGCATGTGCCCCTTTAAATCAGTATTTTAGTATCCTTTGGATAAATACCTAGTCATGCAATTGCTGGGTCATAGGGTAGTTCTATTTTCCTCTTTTTGAGGAACCTACATACTGTTTTCCAGAGTGACTGCACCAGTTTTCATCCCTACCAACAGTGCAAGAGGGTTCCCCTTTTCTCTGCATCCTCAACAACATCTCATGATTCCTGAGTTGTTAATTTTAGCCATTCTGACAGGTGTGAGGTGGTATCTCATTGTGGTTTGGATTTGTATTTCCCTGATGATGAGTGATGTCGAGCATTTTTTCATGTGTTTGTTAACCAATTGTATGTCTTCTTTGAGAAATGTCTATTCATGTTTTATGCCCATTTCTTAACTGGATTATTTATTTTTGGGTGTTGAATGTGATATATTCTTTATAGATTTAAATGTTAGTTCTTAATGAATGGATAAATTCTGTTATATCTGCTCTCCCATCTGCCACATCAAATTGTACTTTTTCCCAACTCATGTTTCAAATGAATGTATTCTAGCCTAAATATGTATGCATCTATCATTTGGACTGTCATTTATAGGTTCATGATTAATTTGTTTGTCTTAAAAATAAATGCAAAGGTAAGAGAAACTCTTGTCCCAGAGATCATTGCCTGTGCAATTATCTTTGTAAATTCTCCAACTGAGAGTCTGCTAAATATGGCTGAATGATAGTGAAATCGTAACTTTTCTTCTGCCTTTTTGAATTTTATATTCTTGCAGGAGACAGTTTTCTTACTTTTGAAAAAATTTCAATGAAAGAGGAAAACTGGGCTCTCACAGAGAATGGAACAAGTACTGACTGGACCAGAAGTCCAGGAAACCAACAGAATCAGCCTTGAAGAGCAGATATTGTAGCTTGGCCATCAAACTCTGTCTCTGGTGTTTTCTGGAGGCATATTTCTTGGGATCAAGACAGTTAGACTAGGAGAAATAGGAGTGGTAGAGGCAGTAGTATGAAGTTTCTACCTTTGCTGTCAATAGAGCTTTTCTGTCCCTAGGTCCCCGGGGCCAGCACCTCTCAATCTGAAGCACCACTAAATAAAACAGTGTATTGGGTTTTTCCCCACTAAAATTGACTAGAAGCATCTCAAGCCTATTATTCTAGTAGTGCTTCCTGCTGATTATTTATTTATATGTACTTCTTTAAGATCCAAATAGTTCTGGGGCACCTGGATGGCTCAGTAGGCTAAGCATCCTACTTCGGCTCAGATCATTATCTCGTGGTTCATGAGTTCAATTCCTGCATTGGGCTCTGTGTTGACAGCTCAGAGCTTGAAGTCTGCATCGGATCCTGTGTCTCTTTGCCTCTCCCATGCTCTCTCTCTCTCTCTGTTTCTCTAAAAAATAAATAAACATTTAAAAATTAAGTCCAAATGGTCCCTTGCTCCAGGCAGAAAAAGTCCTGAGAGTCAGCAGAGCAAAACTACAACAGATTTCACTCAATTTTCTCTACTTTCCTATTTACAATGAAATCACTGCAGAGAGATGTTGTGTACCTAGCTCAAAACAAATGCGCTTTGTAGAACAACCAAATCCCTTCCAATACTCAGAATTGGTTCTCTATTTACCAATTACCAGGTTGTCTGCCTGACTCGCTCCTCTTAGAATAAGTTATTTCTCAACAGGTCAGCAGTTCCTTCTACAATTGACTTCTGGTGTCTGCTCTACCAGTTTCCAAGATGTGCTCAAACTTGTCTAAACTCCAGGCAATGACATAATGTAAGCTTAAGACCTCTTCGTTTCACTACACAGATTACTGACAAGACAGATTGGCTCTATGTAGTGTTTTACACAGTAATGGCCATAAATCAAGGCCTAGAAGTTTACACATTCTCTACCATTAACCTCTATTTAAAGGTAACAATTATCAAAATGAAGAAAGAGGGGCGCCTGGGTGGCTTAGTCGGTTAAGCGTCCGACTTTCGCTCAGGTCATGATCTCGCGGTTCGTGGGTTCGAGCCCCGCGTCGGGCTCTGTGCTGACTGCCAGCTCAGAGCCTGGAGCCTGCTTCAGACTCTGTGTCTCCCTCTCTCTCTGACCCTCCCCTGCTCACGCTCTCTCTCTCTCTCCTAGAAATAAATAAAACATTTTTAAAAAATGAAGAAAGAAAGTAATGATGCAGATAAAGGGAATAAGAGGTGTTCTATGCTGGGTTCTTGTAAAAAGCTAGAGAGGACATTAGAATGTAGACAGAAACTATACCTTTAGAAAGGGATTAGGAACTCTAAATAGTCTTTTCCTTACTTATGCAGCACAAACCTTCCCCTACTAACCTTTCACACCATTCATACACAATGCTTCACAGAGAAGTTTCAGCTTCCTTTTTAAAAAATGTTTTGGGAGCTGGCATCCAGCTAGTGTATTTTCCCTCATGGAGAGGGGCAGAAAAAGATAAAGGTTTTGATAAACATAGAGGCCTCTTTTTAAAAATTTTTTAAATGTTTTATTTATTTCAGAGAGAGAGAGAGAGAGAGAGCAGGGAAGGGTCAGACACACACACACACACACACACACACACACACACACACACACAGAATCTGAAATAGGCTCCAGGCTCTGAGCTGTCAGCACAGAGCCTATGCGGGGCTCCAACCCACGAACCGAACCGTGAGATCATGACCTGAGCCGAAGTCAGACACTTAACCGACCGGGCCACCCAGGCGCCCCTAAACATAAGAGGCTTCTTAAAGGAGTCACCACTTGAGCTGAGTCAAAAGAAGAGGAAGGAGTTTTAGGATGGAGAACAGCATCCCAACCTCTTTAAGAAGATGCTTTCTGTTACAGAATTAAACAAGGAAGCAGATTGTTTTGATTCCAGTTTTGTCACTGACTTAATGTATGAAGTTAGGCCCAAACCCTTCCTTTTTCTGTCTTCAATTTTCCCATTTTTTCAATTAGTTGGATGAAGTACACCGTGATCTCTAGTAGCACGAGGCTCACCGGAGCAAAAAGAACTATGTTCTGTTCCCTTTCACACTTACTAGGTGTGGAAGCTTTTGGAAAACTGGTTCACCATGTCTGGGCTTTAGTTCCCTTATTTATAAAATTGGGAAATTCAGTCCCCAAGCTTACCTTACAAAGTTGTAATCATTTGGTAAAATAACAGCAATACAGTTTTGTCTATTATAAAATGCCCTACACTTGTGAGGAAACTGAAAGTAGAGAAGAATGGGAGACATCTAGAAATGTAGAAAGAAGAAAGGAATTGAGGCAAGGTAAAAGAAATTTGGGAAGGAAAATGAAAAAAGAAAGAAAAGGACGAAAAATGAAGCAATTCCGATGAAAATAAAGGCAGATAGAGAGGGAGAGCAAGCAGTCTGGAATCTTGGGGGAGGGGCCACAGTAAGGCTGGGTCACGTTGCCGGCGGAGCCATTTGAGCAGTGCACGGCGGTTGGGCGCGGGACCTATTTGGCTGTGACGCCCACTCCAGGCTTTTAGCGCCCTATCCCCTAGGGCTCATCTAAGACCTAAGATGGCGGCGTTCGTACGGAGGAAAAGTACTGCCTGAGTACTAGGTGTGGAAAACGGCCAATGGACAAATCTATTAAGGAAAGTACAGAAACTCGCTAATATTTTCTTTTGTGGTGAGTGCTGAGCTTCACGTCAGCCAGAAAAGTGTCCGTTAGTAAGGCTGCACACTTGGGGATGGCGTGGCCTGCCTGAGTGGGGGGAGGAGCTGGCCTGCTTTTCATTTTACTCTCTTGCCTTTGTTTAAAATATCAGGGAATAATTTCTCTTTCTTTAGTCACCTTACCACCACTGATGAAGCTAGACGGTTGCGGATACTAGCTCGTAGGAGGGATTCTGAGCCGTTTTCTTCTCGTTTTTCCTTGTTTAAATGGGTTTTTATTGACACCACGCCGGCCCCAGAACGCTTTCAGGAACACCCTAACCTGTTGGACCTACTTTTCCTTATTTCCTTCGTGCTGTATTTCGCAGGTAAACGTTGTTTTGATAAACTAATCAGCTTACGTAACATACTTATGGGCTGGATTTAAAATTTTTTTGTGTGTCCTTTCTATAGGTCTCAGATGAAGACTTCTAGGCATACATTTGTTCTGGAAGCACGTTCTTTTCAGAGGTGTGTGTGTGTGTGTGTGTGTGTGTGTGTACGTACGTACAGGTAATCTCTTGGGGAATTGTTAACATTATTTTGTGGATTATTACCTTGATTATTCATTGAGAAAAGAGCTAGGTTTTTCATGTTCAAATTTCTTGGTGAAAATATGTTAATGGTAAGCGTAACATATTTGTGGGAAGACCGAAAAACATTTGCAGCTTTATTTTTATGAGGAGTAACTGAAAACAGCCTGTATATCCATCTATCGAATGTGTGAATAAATTGTGGGACATTCATATTACGAATATTTTGCAGCTGTGGAAACAGATTTACCTCTTCACACACTTTTTTTTTTTTAATGTTTTTATTTATTTCTGAGAGGGAGAGAGAGACAGCTTGCGCAGGGGAGGGTCAGAGTGAGAGGTAGACACAGAATCTGAAGCAGGCTCCAGGCTCTGAGCTGGCTGTTAGCACAGAGCTTGACGCGGGGCTGGAACCCACAAACCGTGAGATCATGACCTGAACCGAAGTCGGGTGCTTAACCAACTGAGCCACCCAGGCGCCCCTCTTCACACACTTTTCATCTAGAGAATGCTATGATGGATTGTGATGTGAGAAAAGCAAGTTACAGAATATCTAGTATGCTGTGTTTTTAGTTGGAGGGGTGATGAGGGAATATAAAATTGACTTTCTTTTCTTTGTCTTTTTTAGGGGGCTTTCCACATATGTTATGAAATACTTAAGATATACAAACATATAAAGAATAATACAATGAGAGATGCAAAAGAAAAAAAAAAAGGAGTGAACCTCTGTTTTCACCATCCAAACATAAAAATAATAGCATGATAGTTGAAGTTCTCTGTGTACCCATCCCCGAATGTGTCTCTTCCTTCATCCCCAGAGGTAACTATTATTTTAAACAGTGATTATATTTCCCATGCATTTCTTAAACTTCTGTGACATGTGGACTTCCAGCATTAGTTTTTTAAATACATTAGTTTTTAAAATACATTTTGAAGAGAAATTTAAAAAAAAGTAAATAAAAAAGAGGAGTTTTAAAGTGCCTGTTACCTGGATTACAGTAACAGGGGCCATTTGAAATTTCTTTTAAGTTTAGGGCATAATCTAGTTTAAAAAAAAACAAAAACAGGAAATAAGTGTTGGTAAGGAAGTAGAGAAATTGGAACTGGTGTACATTGTTATTGGAAATAAAATGGTGCAGCTCTGTGGAAAATAAAAATGACTAGCAGTTTCTCTATAGGTTAAACACGGAATTACCATATTTCCTTGCCAGTGATTTGTTATTTTCTGTTTTATTTTTTTTTTATTTAATTACAACCATCTTCGTGTGTTTGAAGTGGTATGTCATATGGATTAGATTTGTGTTTTTGTAAAGACTGATTTGGAGTATGTTTTCATGTCCTTGTTGAACAATTGTATGTTTTCTTTGCTGCAGAACTGTCTATTCAAGTCCTTTGCCCATTTTTTAATTTTGGTATTTTTTTGTTGTTGCTGTTGTTGAGTTGTAAGAATTCTTTATGTATTCTGAACTGTTATATATATGATTTGAAATGTTTTTCCATTCTTTAGGTATTTTCCACACTATTGATAATGTCATTTGGTGTACAGGTTTTTAAAAATTTTAAGTTCAATATGTCTATTTTTTTTCTTGTTTGTGCTTTTGATGTCAAATCTAAGAATTCTTTGCCAAATTCAAAGTCTTGAAGTCATACATCTCTTTGTATTCTTTTGAATTTTCTATGGTTTTAGCTCTTGTATTTATGTCATTGATCCATTTTGAGTTAATTTTTGTATATGACGTGAGGTCCAACTTCATTCTTTTACATGCACATAGCCAGGTGACCCAGCACCATATGTTGAAGAGACTGTTTATTCCCTATTGAATGGTATTGGCACTGTTGTTGATATCAATTAGCCATAGATGTATAGATTTATTTCAGGTCTTTCATATTCATTCCATTTGTCTCTGTATTTGTCCTTATGCTAGTACCACACTGTTTTGCTTATTATAGATTATAGTAAGTTTTAAGATTGCAAAGTGTCACTCCCACCTTTGTTCTTCTTTTTCAAGTTTGTTTTCGCTATTCAGTGCCCCTCACAATTCCATATGAATTTTAGGATCAGATTGTCCATTTCTTTTTAAGTCCTATAGAAAAAAAAGAGGAGTTGCAAACCAAAAATACAATAATACTGGCTTTTATGTTTTCCTATGTCTCTATCTTTACCCATGTCTTTTACTTCTTCATATACTTTTGAGTTAGAACTCCCTTTCATAGTACTTGTAGGGTAAATCTATTAGGAGTGAACTCCCTCAGATTTTTTTATTTGGAAATGTTTTAATTTCTCTTTTCATTTCTTTTGATGGATATATTGAAATATAGTTCACACATCAATTACCTGTTTAAAGTGTATTGGTTTGGTTAAAGTTCATTGGTTTTCAGTATATGTGCAACCATCACTACAGTCATTTTACAATATTTTCATCACCCTAAGAAGTCCTTGCACTTTAGCCATAACCCCATACCCCTTTGAACCCTACCGGCTCAGCCCTAGGCAACCACTGATCTACTTTGTGTCTCTATAGATTTCCCAGTTTTGAACATTCTGTGTGAATGGAATCATAAAATATGTAGTCTGTTGTGATTGGCCTCTTCCACTTAGCATAATGCTTCAAGGTTTATCCATGTTGTAGCATGTATCAATACTCCATTCCATTTATGGCTGAGTAATGTTCCACATTATGGATATTTTGTTTATGCATTCATTTATTGATGGATATTTAGGTTGTTACTGTCTTTGGCTATTAAAAATAATTCTGCTGAAACATTCACGTACAAATTTCTTTCTAGACACATGTATTCATTTCTCTAGGTATATGTTTAAGAGTGTTTTTGCTGGGTCATATGGCATCTATGTTTGAGAAACTGCCAGACTTTTTTCCAAAGTGGCTGCACCGTTTTACATTCACAGCATCGGTATTTGAGGGCTCTAACTTGTCTGCATTCTCACCAACCATCATCATCTGACTTCATCCAATTCTAGCCATCCTAGTGGGTGTGAAGTGGTATCTCATTGTAGTCTTCTTTCCCACAAGGTTAGTCCTCTGATGTTGGTCCTTAGGGAGGGGCAATTTGAATATTCTCCCAGTCACCCTGGGATAGCTAGTTTTGTTAGGACTGTCTTTCCCTGACCACACCCAGCAGCCAAGATCCACTTCCTCCAGGAACTAATTAATTGTTTTCCACAATGCCCTGGGGCATAAACTACTTAAAGCAAATCCAGTCAAAATGTGGGTCCTTTGAAGAAATAGTTTCTAAACTTAGTGTTTGATATTTGTTGTGACCCCAGGAGGGCTCCTCCCAGTTGTTTTAGTCTCCAGTTCTCTCCTGCAAACTAGTTTACCTACAGTTTAGCCTCTGTATTTTGAATGGGCTATTTGGCTTTGGCTATAGCGTCAGTGTTTTTTCAGGACTCCTCTAGGCTTGACTTTTCTCCAAGCTCTTGCAAATGAAATCAGTCCCTTTGGGAAGAAATTAAGAGCTATCTGTTTTAATGTCTGCTTCTTCTTTCAAACAGAAGCTCTGAGGTGGGGTGGAACAGTGGCAAATTTCTCTCTGAGTGACATTAGTACTTTTTGAGGGAAGGGTGCAGCCACAGGTCGTCTGAGTTTGCTTTTCTCTCCTCACAACCCAAGGCAAGGATGATTAGGGCCCCAGTCTTTTCCGTGCACCACACCCAATAAAGTATACTTTCTGTCGGGTGGGGGGAGGTGCGGCGCAGGAAGGGCTGGAACCCCTTCCTCTCACCCACACTTGTCTAGGACTCAGCCCTAGTAACAGGCAACTGGGCATTCTGTGTTCTTGGTTGCAGGAGTCTCTAGTGGAGAGTCTTCCTTGAGCTGGGATGGGAGAGAGAAAAAGGGTGTGGTCTCGGTTCAAATACAAACTCATTCTTGGTGAATTTTTGAATGTAGGTTTCTTCATTTGCCCTTTGTCCTTAAATCAGTTTCCAGAGGCTTTAAATGGCTTTAAAAAATAGTTTTCATCAGCTTCAGTGGAGAGCAACAGGTCACTTGAGCTCCTCATGCTGTCATGCTATAAATTGTTCTCTTTCTTTTCTTTTTGAAAGATATTTTTGTCAGATAGATTTGTTGGTTGACAGCTTTTTTCTTTCAGCACTGTAAATATTTCATTCTACTGCCTTCAGCTTCTGATGATGGGATATTTCTCTTTTCTTGCTTTTAGGATTCTCTCTTTTTGGGGGACTTTCAACAGTTTGAATAAACTACATCTCAATATGCATCTCTTTGGGTTTATTCTCTTTGTGGTTCATTAAATTTTTTAAGATACATAGATTGGCCACTGTTCAAATATTCTTTTTTGTTTTTGTTTTTTAAGTAGGCTTCATACCCATTATGGAACCCAGCGTAGGACCCAAGGCAGGGCTTGAACTGACGACCCTGAGATCAAGACCTGAGCTGAGATCAAGACTCTGATGCTTAACTGACTGAGCCACCCAGGTGCCCCTGTTCACATATTTTCTATGCCTCTTTCATTTTGTTCTGGACCTCTCATTTTGCATATGTTTGTACACTTGATGTCTGTTAGGCTCTTTTCATTTTTCTTCATTTTGTTTTTTCTTTTTCCACTCAGACAGGATAACCTTAAAAAAATTTTTTTTAATGTTTGTTTATTTTTGAGAGACAGAGAAATTGAGAGAGAGGGAGAGAGAGAGAGAGATACAGAGTGTGAGTGGGTGTGCGGAAGAGAGAGAGGGAGACACAGAATCCAAAGCAGGCTCTAGGCTCCTCTGAGGTGTCAGCACAGAGCCTGACGTGGGACGTGAACTCACAAATTGTGAGATCTTGACCTGAGTGGAAGTTGGACGCTCAACTGACTGAGCCACCTAGGTGCTCTAGACTGGATAATCTTAATTTACCTGTCTTCATGGTCACTTAATTCTTTTTCTCGGCCTATCGAAATCTTATGTTGAACCCCTCTAAAATTCAGTGAATTTTGAATTTCAGTTATTGTGCTTTTCAGCAAGAGGATTTTTTTGGTTTTTGGTTCCTTTTGTAATTTTTGTCTTTTTTTAAATTTTTAATGTTTTTTTATTATTTATTTTTTGGGGAGAGAGAGACAGTGCGAGTGGGGAAGGGGCAGAGAGAGAGAGGAAAACACAAAATCTGAAGCAGGCTCCAGGCTCTGAGCTGTCAGCACAGAGCCTGACATGGGGCTTGCTTGAACTCAAAAGCTGTGAGATTATGACCTGAGCCAAAGTCGGACACTTAACCGACTGAGCCACCCAGGCGTCCCAGTAATTTTTGTCTCTTTATTGTTATTTTCTATTTATTGATATGCTGTTTCCTGGTTTCCTTTAGTTTTTGTCCATGGTTTCTGTTAGCTCTTTATCATATTTATGATAGTTGAATATTTCTAGGAAGTCTAATGTCTTGGTTTCTTCAGGGACTCTTCCTGTTAACTTTTTTTCTTTCTGTGAATGGGCCATACTTGTTTCTTTACATGCCTAATAATTTTTTAATGAAAAATTTTCTTGAAAGGTAGGTACTTTGCATTTTGTAGTATGTTGGCTTTGGAAATCAGAGTATTTCCCCCCTCCCCAGGGTTTGTGTTGTTCCTTATTGTGGGGTGCAGTCGCCACTTGTTTAATGACTTTTCTAAATGATTTTTGCAGACTATTTGCCTTATTATATGTAATCACTAAAGTGTCCATTCCATTATCTTAGTTGTCAGGCAGTGGCCTGATAAGATTTCCTTAAATGACAAAATGGCAGGGCCCCTGGGTGGCTCAGTCTGTTAAGCATCCGACTTCAGCTCAGGTCTTAATCTCACAGTTCATGGGTTCGAGCCCCGCGTCAGGCT